GTGCGTTCAGGCCGCGGTCGGAAGCCCCATGAAGTACATCACGAGAGCCTTCCCTGAGGTACTCAAACGTAGGTGTAGCCCCCAAACCGTCGCGCACTCCAGTCGTCATTTCTGCCAACTGAATCGAGCCGTTGTGCTCGCCGCCAATCTTTTGCACGCCATCCGCTGGGAGGGTCACGTGCTGCTGGGGGCGGAGCTGTAGGCTTAATGGATTGTCTTCAGCCGTCGGATGCATCAAACTACTGCTCGAACCAGTTTGTGTCCCATTCGTTGACATAGAAGCGTCGCGTAGACTGGCCATCGACCTCACAATCCGCCCTAGTCTCCCCACCTCGGCTTGCCCATATGGTAGCACTGGGGAGGCTCACACCTCCTCCATCATCGCTTCCATCCATAGAGAGAATTCGTCCTCCACGAACCCCGCAGCGGCAGGTCCCGCGCACACCTGCCCGCTTCAATTGTGGAGCGCATTCATAATGTTTTGCCTGATCTCCTGGTTGCGGAACGTGAAGAGGATTTTGCCCTGGCCGATCTTGAAGGGCTTCTCCAGCTTGCACAGCGGGAAAGAGTCGGCAACTTGGTGCTCGTCAATCTGGTTGAGCAGTTGGATCGAGCTCTCGGGCCTTGCCTTGCACTTCGCACCTACGCCCTGCTTGGCCAACGTCTCCACCACCGCCATGGCTGCCCCAGGTGCTGGGGGGGGGCCTTTTTTGCGTGATTCTCCTTCTTGGCGGACTGCACGAGCGTAGTTCTTGTTCTCCGTCTCGGCGGCGACAACCAATGGGTCCTTCTCCCCTGCTTTCACTGTCGCGATGACGCTGCCCGTCATGAGCTCGCGGATCTGCTTCGTGCCCTGGTAGGGCGCGCGCAGGGCGGTGACCAGCAGGTCCACCAGCTCGTCGCTCATCTGCCTGGGGGCCAGCTTCGGCTTGAACGTTGCTCCACGTCTGCGGCGTGCCCGTGCTCCAGATGCTTTCTTCGGGTCGAAGGTGTCGCTCTCGTGGGTGTCATTAGCTGCTGTCTGTCTGGGCCCGCGCCGCTCGCTCCTCGAGCGCCCGTCGCCCCGCGCGCCTCGCCCGCCGCGCCCAGACGGCCGGGGGGGGGCACCATCGGGGCGCGCCTGGACGCCCTCGCAGCCACTCCCCCTGGGGCCCGGGGGGATCTCCACATCCGTCGGTGCCATCGCGTCGGTCTGCGGCTGGTGCCACAGGTCGCGAGAAGGACAGCGTGCGTTCGCCCAGTACGTCTTGGGGTTAATGACTACGGAGATGAATCTCAAGGGCGCTGTACTCCTCGCAAGTCTGTCGGCAGATCGGGCATGCGAGGGTTCTCGGGGGGGTCATCGGGGATGGGGCCCCGGTCAGGCCGCCGTGCATGCGCGCGGTCCCCATGCTGCCGTAACATGGTGTTGCCCGCCCGTGTGCGTCGGAAATGTAATATAATAAAACATAGGATGCTCTCGTTCGTGAGCGTCACCTGTGGCAATAAGCAACGCACGCCATGTTCCCCTCCTGGTGCGAGACCACGTGAGTGTGCATAAAGTGCGCGCGTGCTCTTCCATGCCCTTGCAGACGCGCGCCCGCCTGGCGTTTTTAGATCGCAGACGAACAGTTCGGCCTCGGCGCCAGGGGCAAGCTCTGACGGGAGTTCGGCAGCCGACCCTGGTGGCGCAACGGCGCGTCGAAGGCAGGCGGTCCGCATGTAGCTCACGTCGATCCCTGGGAAGGCCTCGGCGATGCACGCTGGGCTCGGTGACAAGGTCGGCGACGTTGCCGTGCCAGTCCAGGAGCTCCAGAGGCTCGGCCACGTCTAGCGTCATCATGTCCTGGATGTCCGCCGCGAACTGCCTGGCGACGAGGTGCGCGTCGGGGTTGATGTGGCCGTCGTCGGCCAGCGTGAGTGGTGCCACTGGTAGGACGTGGTAGCAGGTGTTCAAGTCGTAGTTATCCGAATAATACTGAAACCATGTTTTTGGAGTCTTTCGGGTGGGCTGCAGCACCCTGGCGAACTTTCGGTATCCTGATCTTCAGCCCGATGGAACTGGACGCGATCTCCCATCCCCCCATACTTCAGCAGCTGGAAGGGACGTGTACTTGTCCCGGATGCGTTGGCAACGTTTGTTTTTCAAAAGAAGCCGTAGCTCTTCACCGAGGGAGGTGTCGACGCTCCTGTAGTCTGTGGCGTGTAGGTAGTGTGAGGCGGCGCTGACGGCGGCCCCATACACCACAGCCTGGAAGACTAAGCGCTTCAGTCGGCGATGGGGCCCGACTGAACCAGAAGCGGCGATGCTGGCTCCACCCAGCGCTTGCTGCTCGGAATCTTGCTTTCCGTTCGCGTCCAAAGGTCCCCTTTGCGTCGAACATGCCTCCCGCGTGCTTCATGGCAACGAACTTACGGGATTCGATGCGTTCATCCGCGAAGGAGGCGCGGTGCAACGTCTCAGGCGGGACGCCGTGCACGATTTCCCCCTTCGGGCAGTTCATGCCAAACCCGCCTTTCTGAAGAACATGCTTCAAGGAGTCCAGGTCGCGCTGGATGGCCCAGGCACGGCGTCGAACTCGCCGACGTCGGCGTCGCGGAGCTGGCCGCGGGGGCCGCTTGCTCCTGGGGCTTCACGCGGAGGCCGATGTGACACTTCAGTATGTCGCCCATGAAAACGCGGCGGCTGGCGGGCTCGCCAGAGCAGCCCACCAGTCCTCCGTCTTGGTTGCGTAAGATCAGGGCGTCGTCGCTCGCATCCACGATGGCATGAGACCCCTGTCGTCGCCGCAGTACCAGTTACTAGTGGCAGGCCACCTGCGCGGACGGTCGGGGGAAAGTCTTCTTGAATGGCTTCATGTTTTGCACGGCCGGACGCGCTCCTGCCGCCGCGGGGGCGGACTGCGAATGCAACTTTAGCATTCCTCAGCTCGCCTGCCAGAACCCGCGTCGCGATCAAGCCAAGCTCTCGACGTCGACGTTGACTGCCTCCATAGACGCAGTCGGGAGGCGGTAAGGGAAACCCTCGTTCGCGCAGGTGCCGGTAGAAGCATCTCCAGAACGCGTCGAAGCAATGTTTGGGTCGCAGTCCAACAAGGCCGAACATCAGTTTCCCTTCGTCAGGTTGGAGGCTCTGGGATGTGTTGGCCTGCATCGGCACCCTGTTGTGCTGGCGGGCGTCCCTGTCTGTATTCTCGCGCCAGCTGTAGCTTCCTCTTCGAGGGGACTTCCTCCCCGACTGGGGCGTTGGCCGCCCCGAGACCTCCACGCGCTCGGCTTGGTCGTCGTAGTAGTTCGGGTTGTAGTGCCGGGACGGGCCCCACCGTCACGTCGCCAACCTCTCCGCTGTGAAATCGATCGTTCAGGTCCATCATGAGTATCGGTGTGACGCGCGATGGTGTAGCGAGGATCTCGTTTTTGAACTCATTTGCCACTTTGTTCACCGTGGGTCTCCATTGTGGTGCCTCCTTCTTGTCCCATGGCACGGGTGGCGGCTCCTCCTCGTCCGTATATATATTGCGCCGGGCACGTAATATCCTTGATGTGTCCCGCCTTGGACCTGGAGCCCACTAGTATCGCACAGCCCGCCGATGTGTTGACGTGTGGGCTCCGGTATCCGTCTCCGAAATGAACGGCCATGAAATGCTCATACTGCTGGGTGTGGTGTGGGCTGGCGGTATGTTTCGGGATCTTTGTGCCCGGGCATGCAGCGAGCTGCACTTGTCGCAGCTCTGCACTGACCTCCTTTCCATGTGTGCCGACCAGACTGAAGGAGTTGAAGACGACGAGCGAAAGGAACGTCCGCATCCTCATGGCGCCATCCCCTCGGGAGCACAGCGCGGTGGTGCTCTCATCGCAGAAGCGGGCGTGTGCTTTCCGCCTGGTGCCTCCACAAGCCCCGCAAGAAATCGCTAGGGTCGAGAGGGGTTTAGAGAGGTATGTGTGTAGATATATATATATATATATATATAGAGAGAGAGAGAAAACAAAAAAAAGAGAGAGAGAGAGAGAGAGACAGGGCGCCCGAGAAAGCCCCCAATGAGGCCATAGGAGGCCCTGGCAGGGCCTTCTTTATCATCGTCACCACCAGCACCACCATCATCATCGGCGTCAACTTTGCAGCACCGTCACAATCGTGAACGTACCTCATTTCTTCTTCCGAGACTCCCGATAATCTCGCTGCTGTTCCCCTTGCGCCTGGACTAATTGCCCGCCTCGCCCCAGTCGGACTTGATTGGACAGGACACGCGAGAGGACATAAGACTTTTCCGAGGGGCACATTGCCATAGGAATGTAGGCGGCTTGGGTCGCTAGACACAGGACGCACGGGTACCCTGGATTTGGCAAGGTCGACCTGCTGATCAGGGCCGACTGTACGCCTGGCCTCCTCCTCATCATCATCCGCAAATTGGCCAAGTGATCGTCCGCTTCCGTCTCCCTGGGTTCAACGGGCGAGGAAGGGCGTACCATACACTGCTTCGCCGTCGGGGGCGCCAGTCCCAGGACGGCGGGAAGGTTAATGCCCTTGCGGTGGCACGTCAGGGTATAAACTTTCCGGCCGCCGTGGGACAACTGTACCCAGCGACGGACAACAAATTTTGTAGACCGTTCTTTGCCGGCTAATGGGTTCCTCATTCCTCCCCCTCCTCTTCCTCATGGGCGTCTTTCCCTCCTCCTCCATCTCGTTCACTTCTATTCCTGGCCCCCTTCCGACGACGACGGCGACGGCCGCGCCTGGGGAGACCAAAAAATCCGATCCCGCTACTTCGTGGACATCTCCCGTGGTGCGCTCTGACTCGAACTCAGCGGCAAATCCAGCCAATGGCGACGAGGGCCTCCCAGGAAGCCCGAAAAGGCGAAACAGATGCAAAAGTAACGGTATCTGTGCAGCACGTCCTCCCTTCCTTTTGCCTCCGCGTCCTCCTCCTCCTTCCCCCCCCCCCCTCTCCTACTCCTGCTCGCCCTCTGATTACCTCCTCCTGCTCCTCCTTCTCCCTCGTCGTCGGCCTCCTCTGAGCGTCCTCGAAATTGTACAGCACGTTGCCCTTCTCGCTGCACCGCCAGCCGTTCGCCTGCGAGGGCTCGCAGCCCCGCTTCTGGTGGAACCTTGGCCCGCCGGCCGACGACAATGCCAGGACGAGGATCAAGTCGGGTGAGGATAAAACGAGCAGGGTAAAGCCGGGTGAGGAACACTGGTCTAAGAACATTGTTTCTGTGTTTCGAACATCTTCGGGGTTTTCAGAACATGTCGTGGTAGGCCTATATGAACGCCAGGACGGTCGGCCCCTGCTCAATCGGTGGTGGCGGCGACTGCAAGTCACCGAGCGCGTTCCACTGCTCGCAAAGGGCCAGCTCGCAAACGCCGGACAAGCAACCGGCGTCCGGCTCGATTGATGGATCGTGGAGCCCCCGCGGCGGGCCCGGGCCATTTGCGAGTAGGCACTCTGCGAGTGGTGGAGCGCGCTCGTCTAGACAGTGAGGGCAGAACAGCCACCCCTCACAACAAGCACCCCGACAAGCGAAGCCGTTCAGCCAACGCACCCAAGGAAGGACTCGAACAGGGCAGGGCTAATGAGCACACGCCCAGGGGACTTTAGAAACCGCCAGTGATCGGGGTCTGAGTGGTTTTGTCCCCCCTTCTTGCAAGCGGGTCGCGGAAACACGCCGTGACTCCGGCTGCGCGCTGTTCGTTGCCGAGGCGCTCTCGGTGGTGGCGGTGAATGCAAGACGAAGCCAGGACGAGGATAACAATTTGTGAATATAAGTCGAGAATATCCGAGATCCGGCGGCTCTGGAAAATGCCTTGGGCGATGCGGCCTTCTCAGAGCGTTCTAGCCACGCTCTGGGACCGTTCCAGAGCGCTCTGCAACGGATTGATCCTCGTCCTAGCGCCGTCCGACAACTCCTGGGAGGTCCTCGTCAGAATGATGAAATGCGGTGACGCCCGATCAAGGGCCACCCAGCCCGTTTTAGCCAAATTGAGCCCAGGACTGAGCCAGATTACGCGGGCCTGAGCCAGACTTGGCGGGATGAAGACGGATCTAGCGGGATGAAGCCAGACTAATACAGGTTTCGACCAGGGATATCCCAGGGCCGATTCAGAAGTTAACATCCCCAAAGTTGCATGCTAAACAGGGAGGCGCAAGAAACACGATCAGAACGGGGGGGCGCATGCGAACCCTGCCACTGGGGCCTTCGGTGAAGCTCTTTATGGGGCCACGAAAAGTGTGAGGGGTGTGCGGATATGGGCCAGGCGCACGCATGCGAACCCTGCCACTGGGGCCTTCGGAGGAGCTCCCTATGGGGCCACGGAACGCGTGAGGAGTGCCGAAATGGCGCGGGGGGGCGCATGCGAACCCTGCCATTGGGGCCTTCGGAGAAGCTCCTCATGGGGCCATGGAACGAGTGAGGGGTGTGCCGAAATGATGCGGGGGGGCACCTGCGAACCCTGCCACCAGGGCCGTCGGTGAATTTCCCTATGGGGTCACGGAACGCGTGAGGAGCGTGACGAAATGGGGCGGGGGGACGCATGCGAACCATGCCACTGGGGCCGTCGGAGAAGCTCCCTCTGGGGCCACGAAGCATGTGAGTGGTGCACCGAAACAGAATCATGCGGAGGGCAGAGACAGAGATGGGAGGAGGGAAGGGGCGAGGAGGAGAGGAGAGGAGAGGAGGAGGAGGCGCGGGGCGCCGTCTCTCTTCCAGACGAGGGCCCAACAACACCACGGGATGGTTGGGACAGAAGAAAAAGCGTGTTCTGCCGCTGCTGACAGAGAAACCGGGGGGGGTCACTGGGGGTTGCAAACCCGTCCCTCCCCCTCGAAAACCGGGGGTGGTCACAGGGGGTTCCAACCCTCCTCCTCCTAGTCCATCATGGAAAGGGGGGGAACACTACCGGCTCGAACCCCCCCCCACCCCTCCTCGCCGCCAATCAACGACTCTCCCTCCTCCCCCACTCCGGATGAGGGACTGTGGTGGGGACAGTGGTTGGGACGGTGGTGGGGACAGTGGGGACAATAGGATAGTGGTGGGGGAACTGGTGGGGACCGTGGTGAGGACAGTGGTGGGAACAGTGGGGACAGCGGGAGAGTGGTGGGGACAGTTGGGACAGTGGGGCAGTGGTGGAGACGGTGGTGGTGGGGACAGTGGCGAGGGGACAGTGGGACAGTGGTGGGGACAGTGGGGACAGTGGGACAATGGTGGAGACGGTGGTGGTGGTGAGGAGAGTGGCGAGGGGACATTGGGACAGTGGTGGGGACAGTGGGGACAATGGGACAGTGCGACAGTGGGGACAGTGGTGGTGACAGTGGAACGGTGGTGGGAACAGTTGGGACAGTGGGACAGCGGTGGGGACAATGGAACACTGGGACAGTGATGGGGACACTGCGGACAGTTGGACAGTGGTGGGGACAGTGGGAACAGTGGGGATAGTGGGACCGTGGTGAGGTCAGTGGTGGGGACAGTGGGGACAGTGCAACAGTGGTGGGGGCACTGGTGGGGACAGTGGGGACAGTGGTGGGGACAGTGGTGGGGACAGTGGGGACAGTGGGACAGTGGTGGGCATGGTGGTGGTGGGGACAGTGGTGAGGGGACAGTGGGACAGTGGTGGGGACAGTGGGAACAGTGGGACAGTTGTGGGGACGGTGATGGTGGGGACAATGGTGTTGGTGGTGGTGAGGACGGTGGTGGGTCAATGGGACAGCGCGACAGTGGGGACAGTGGTGGGGACAGTGGAACGGTGGTGGGAACAGTTGGGACAGTGGGACAGCGGTGGGGACAGTGGGGACACTGGGACAGTGATGGGGACGGTGGGGACAGTGGGACAGTGGTGGGGACAGTGGGAACAGTGGGGATAGTGGGACCGTGGTGAGGTCAGTGGTGGGGACAGTGGGGACAGTGCGACAGTGGTGGGGGCACTGGTGGGGACAGTGTGCCAGTGGTTGGAACAATGGGACAGTGGGACAGTGGTGGGGACAGTGGGGACACTGGGACAGTGGTGGGGACGGCGGTGGTGGCGACAGTGGTGAGGGCGTCGGTGAGGACGGTGGTGGGGAGGGACCCGGGAGTCGTTTGCTAGCGGCGAGTGGGGAGGGGAGGTTGGGAGGCAGGAGAATTCTTGCCCAGGGAGGGGGAGGGGGGGGGGGGGAGGGGGGACCCCCGGGTTCCGGAGGAAGAAGGCAGGAATGTTCCTCAACAATGCGGCGTTGGATCACGCTCTTTCGGACAAACTGCATCCCACTTGAATTCTCGGACGTTCCGCGTTCCCCTTGCTTTCTCGGACGGGTCTAGGACGAGGATAAGTCCGTTCCAGAGCGTTCTGGAACGCTCTCATAGCGTGCTGGAACGCTCTGAGAAGGCCACGGCGCCCGATACATCCTCCAGAACAGCCAGATCTCAGATATTCTCGACTTATATTCACAAAGTGTTATCCTCGTCCTGGCTTCGTCTTGCATTCGCCGCCACCACCGAGAGCGCCTCGGCAACGAACAGCGCGCAGCCGGAGCCACGGCGGCATTCCGCGACCCGCTTGCAAGAAGGGAAGAAAAACCACCCAGACCCCGATGACTGGCGTTTCCTAAACGGCCCTGGCCGTGTGCTAAACAGCCCTGCCCTGTTCGAGTCCTTCCTTGGGTGCGTTGACTGAACGGCTTCGCTTGTCGGGGTGCTTATTGTGAGAGGTGGCTGTTCTGCCCTCACTTTCTAGACGAGCGCGCTCCACCACTCGCAGAGTGCCTACTCGCAAATGGCCCGGGCCTGCCGCGGGGGCTCCGCGATCCATCAATCGAGCCGGACGCCGGTTGCTTGTCCGGCGTTTGCGAGCTGGCACTTTGCGAGCAGTGGAACGCGCTCGGTGACTTGCAGTCGCCGCCACCACCGATTCGACCGTCCTGGCATTCATATAGGCCTACGACGACATGTTCTTAGAACCCCAAAATGCTCGAATCACAAAAAGAGTGCTCTCAGAATATAAGCCCGACGTGGTAAAACAAGACAACCTGGGCCAGAAATGTTCTAATAACACTTCGCGCAGACCACAAAAGGTTATCAACACACTTTTTGGCGGGCCTATAGCAGAGGTCTCATAGATGGAACCCAGGAAACACAAATCTCAGGATTCCCAATATTTTGCCATGTGTTCTCGGGTTTCGTCTTCCCGCCACTTCTGATGCTTCCCAGCTTTCCCAGGGAGCCCCCCCCCCCCCAAGGCGCCAGGCCCAACCTCGGCGACGAGCGACGGGGGGGGATGTGAGAAGGAGGAAGCCCTCTCAGCAAGCGGCGGGGCTTCTCAGAAACCCTCTCGCCTTATGAGAGGTCTTCTCTGTGTCTTCTGCCGGGAGCGGCCAAGAGGGGGGTGTCCAAGAGGGGGGGGTGCAAATCATGACCGGCGGCATGTGCGCGGCCCAGCGGGGGGGCCAGGGACGTAATGAAATAAGAGGAGGCGCCATGAAATCTGGGGAAATATCATGGCCCCCGCCATGATATCCGCCCCCCCCTAGGCATCACCCCCCTCTTTTCCGCCCCCGATTCTGAGAGGTCTTCTCTGTGTCTTCTGGGAAGGCGCAGAAAAACTCTCAGAAGGCCGGGGGACTTCCGAGCCTTCGGAAAAAAGGCCCGCCCCTTCTCGTTCCCCCGCGGGGGCTCGCCGCCGACGCCGGACCTTCCGCCACTGCCCCCAACCCCACGGGCGCCAGCCCGACCAGCTGACAACGTGCCGCCCCCCTGTGGAGTTCACCGCGCCCTGGCACTCGAGGCGAGGCTGCTTGGCGCCACAGTTCCCCAGAGGGGCAAGAGGCCGCATATGAACATCGGCTGCAACAAAAAACCATGACTGGGGGCACGAAAACTGATATGTAAACGTCAAAGGCCAGGGGAACGGACAATGATATAAACACAAAAACTCGGAAGTCCGCGCGGAGTTCTTCTTGGATCCGCGCTGCCCATCCCCCCCCCTGGTGCGCGGAGGGAGCCATAATCAGGGGGACGTAAGACCCGGGTACAGTGGACTCGGAAATCCCCGACGAGGTCGTCAAAAAAATGACGAGGCCGAGCCTGCATTTTGACGAGGCCTCCCGCTGCAGACATCCCACGAAACTCCTCCTCGTCAAAATCCGAGGCGCGGTCGTCAAAACACGATGGCGAACCCGAGTCCTGGCAAACCCGGGTCTTACGCTCCCCCGACATAAGGCGACGCGGGAGGCGCCGCCAGGGAGGCCGAGCGCCGATCCGAGAGATCCAGGCGCGGAGGTCCGAGGAAGGATGCTCGGTGCTCGTGCGCTGCTTTGCTCCTCGCATCCGCAGCTGGCGGAGGCTCCTCCGCCTCCTCCTCCTCCTCCTCCTCCTCCTCTTCCTCCTCCTCCGCCTCCTCCGCCTCCTCCTCCTCCTCCTCCTCCTCCTCCTCCTCCTCCTCCTCTTCCTCCGTGTCGGGGGTGGCCAGAGCCCCCTTTCGTAAGGCGTGGTTTGGTGAAGACGACCTCGGGCCCAAACCTGGCGGGCGCAGGCCTGGACAGTGACGGCCACGGCGCCCTCTCGAGAGCCGAACACGGACGATTCACTAGTCGACGTGTCAGGGTGGGGGTTCTGTCCACCCCCGACTCACTCAGAAGACATGAACTGTCTATCTACTCCAGCACCTTGACTCTTGTGGAGGCATGGGGGCTTCCCGAGAGCATTCGCATACCCCCCCGCGCTCTCCAGAAGGCCGCCGCGCTCGCCCGACCCCTCCGCAACCTTCCGCAACCTTCCGCCGGCCTTCCGCCGCCTTCTGCCAAGGAAGAGACGGCAACTCCCTCGAGTCGTGAAGACGAGGCCCTTTCTGGAAGGCCGCTCTGGCGTCGCCCCTGGCGCGCGCCGCGCGCAGGGCGAGGGGGACCCAGCGCGGATCAACAAAAATCCACGCGGAGCTCCGAGAAAGTATGTTCGCGCCACTCTGAGTTCCTCGAGCCCCCCCATCGACGCCAGACGATCCTGCGTCGGCGCTGTGGCGTCGATTGCTTGCCAGACGCCAGATCCACGCTCGTGCACTTTCGAGACGGAGCTGCAAGGGGATACTATGTCGGGGATGGACAGAACCCCCTCTAGTAAAACGCGGTTTAGTGAAAACGACCTGAGGCCCAAACCTGGCGGGCGCAAGCCTGGAAAATAACGGCCACGGCGCCCTCTCGAGAAACGAAAACGGACAATTCACTAATCGACGTGCCACTGTTGGGGGTTCTGTCCACCCCCGACTATTAGAAGGCCCGATGACTCGCCACCAACGCCTTGCTTCCTCCTCCTCCCTCCCTGACTGCTCCCGCGGCAGGCGGATCGGTGGCCCGCTCGGAGGCGCCGAGGGCCTTACTGCCCGCCTGCCGCTGGGCGCGCCTCCGGCACGGCTTGCCGCCGGAGAAGGGGCGCGGGCAGCTGGAGGAGAGGCAACGTGGCGAAATCCGAGCCGAATATCCACCCCAGGCCTCCACCTCCTCCTCCTCCTCCTCCTCCTCCTCCTCCTCCTCCTCCTCCTCTTTGTCCTCCTCCTCCTCCCCCAGCCTTCTCCTCCTCTTTCTCCTCCTCCTCCTCCTCCTCCTCCTCCTCCTCCTCCTCCTCCGTAGAAGTACAGCAGCAGGCACCGCTCGATGGGCTGCTGCAGCAGCGCGGCTGGCAGGGCTTCCCCCGCCCGATACGACCCGTAGTCCAGGTCCTCCTGCGCCCCACCAAAAACAGGATGCAACTGATCCTCATCCTTCTTTCCTTCCTTCCTTATTTCCTTTCCTACGCATCCCTCCTCCTCCCTCCTCCTCTTATCCTCCCCCAGCCACCCCCCCCCCCCTACCCCCTACCCCCTGGCGACATCCGAGCCCTACCCCCACACAAACCAGGGATTCTCCTGACTCAATGGGCGGCAGGAGCAACACGACGGAAGGTGCTTCGATCTGTTCGGCCTCTGGGGGCACTTACTGGCCTCGGGGCCGTCAAAGAACGACTCAGGATGCAAAATCGATCCCAGAGAACAGGTCAAGACCTCTGGGGGTCACAGTCATGAACAACTCATGCCGTCGGGGGTCTGGGTCAGAGCCCTACCCCCACGAATCATCGACTCTCCTGAATCGATGGGCGGAGGAGGTGAAATCAGGTTTTCGCCACGTGGTCGACGAATTCCGAACCCTACCCTCGCCAATCATGCGGGAAGCACGGAGCGCAGTGGTCGCGACCTCGCGCAGCCAGCCCAAAGAAGACACACTCTCCGGCCCAGAAGAGCGGAGCGCGAAGCACGCGGAACCTCGCGCGAGGCTGGAATAGGACGGGAGGGGGGGGGGGCTGGATGGACCAGGAAACGAACGACAGCACCCAGCCTACGGCCCTCCATGTTGCGCCGTGGCCCATCGCGGGCAGTAGCGTATACCTTCGAAAGCCGACGCCAGATTTGCGGGTATACGCTCAGCCCCGTGGGGCCGTAGGTGGGGAGGTGTCGTGCGTTCCCTGGTCCACTGGAGGTGACGGAGGAGGACGGTGCAGAGGGTTGGGGGGGGGGCGGGCTCGAGGGCTCCAGGCGCGGCGAGTAGCAACGTCGGGGCGAGGCGGCAGACCGAAGGGGGCGGGGCTACGCTCGGGCCTCGGACAGGAGAGCGTGCTTCAAGAACAGGAGACCCTCCGCCGGGCAACACGCCCCAAGACAGTCAGATCACTCGAGAGCAACCTCCCACGGGATGCACACGAACATCCCACAAGCACGGAGAACATTAGCGTACCCTCCCCGAGCCGACCTCGACCTCACACCTCGGTCCGACCGTACGAGAAGGAAGATTCTGGAACGCACTCCGCCCCAGCCAGGGCGGAGAGGCCGCAAAGCTGCCCAAGGCCCACAGCAGAAGGCTGTGGGACGCCCTTGGTGTGGACCCCCCACCCGCCGAGAGGAAGGTGAATCCAGCCCCGGGCATCCAGTGCTCCAATGATCTCGGTGCGTGGACCTCCGGAGGTCTGGATTCGTTCCCTGGGGCTGGTCGTTCATCCTGAGTCGCTTCTGCTACGGCGAGGGCCCCCCCGGGGCCGAGGCAAAACCCAAACCGGCCGCTCTGATGCTTTGGAGCCTCGGATCTCTGGGGAGGCGGTGGAGGACGACGGTGTAGGACGCCGGTGGAGGCGGCGCAGCGGCTGAGCGCCGGAGCCGGCGAACCCTGGTGGGAACGAAGATGCCACCGTCGACAGTCATGCCAGACTCCACGTAGTCCCAATACTGGCACGGCCTCGGAGCGAGGCGGGAGGGTCCTCCTCCTCCTCCTCCTCCTCCTCCTCCTCCTCCTCCTCCTCATCCTCCTCCTCCTCCTCCTCCTCCTCCTCCTCATCCTGTTCCTCCTCCTCCTCCCCCTCCTCTCGATCCTCATCCTCCCCCTCCTCTCGATCCTCCTCCTACTCGTGCAGTCGATTGGCTCCACAGTTATACTGTGCACCAGGCCATGTGAGGACAGCGTGGGACCACCGAACATATAAGTGTTTCTCTCTGTAGATGTATGTGCATATATATATATATATATGTATGTATGTATGTATGAATACATGTATATATATATGTATACATATCATTACATATACATCCCTGTCTTCCACTCTCTCCATACCCACATATACATACATACATATATATTTATATATGTGTATATATATATGTGTATAAATACATATGTATATGTCTCTCTCTCTCTCTCTAGTTCCCTCAATGTCTCTCTCTCTCTCTCATATTATCGTGCTACCGTTATTTGTTGGGTCCACACATCCTTCACCGCACGCTCCACCCAAGGACTCATGGGAGCACGCCTCGCTCCAGCCCGTGCGCAGTGCCCTGTCCATCCCGCTCCCGCTCATCCTCGTCGTCGTCCATAGACAAGCGCGCTCCACTACTCGCAAAATAACTACTCGCAAATGGCCTGGATCCGCCATGCGGGATTTACGATACATTACATCAATGCAGACATGTACTTTTCGGACGTTTGCGAGTAGAAGCACTTCGCGAGTAGTGGAACGCGCTCGGTGAGTCCAGTTCATACCGTGCTCCAACTGCGTCGTCGCCGTCCTTACCGTACTCCGCCTGCCGCCACCCTCCGCACCTCAACGCGCTCCTCAACACTCCCCACCCTTCTCAAAGCTCCTGCAACATGTGCAAAACCCTGTCGACCCTTCCCCTCTGCCCTCCTCTGCGAAACTCTAGGGGAACAAACAATGACATAAACATAAACACTCGGAGGTCCGCGCGGATGTCTCGGATCGGCGCTGGACCCCCCTCCTTGGCGCGCGGAGCGCCCCAGGGGCGGCGCCGGAGGCGACGCCAGGGGGGCCAGCGCCGATCCGAGAAATCCGCGGGGACCTCCGAGTTTGTATGTTTATATCATTGCTCGTTCCCCTAACCTCCTCCTACGAAGAAAGGGTGATACACGCATAAAGATAAATGTTGGGAGCCCCGCGCGGATTTCTCGCATCGACGCTGGAGCCGCCCTGGCGGCGCCTCCGGGGGGGGGGTCCAGTGCTGATACGAGAAATCCGCGCGCACTTCCCAACAGGTTGTGCCTGCCGAAGGCTCTTCTTCGACGACTGCGGCCGTCCAAGAAGGAGGGGGGCTCCCTTGAAGACAAGGGGCCTCATACAAGAGTAGGGCTGGCAAGAAGCCTAGGTAGAAAGAGAGAGAGAGAGATCTCTCTCTCTCTCTATGTATATAGTGGGTCTTACGCGAGATAACACAACGACCTCAGGCGGTAGCTTACGCGGGCCGCCAGCGCTGCACGCCACATTGGAGACGAGCGCACTGACGCGCGGCCTTACGCGGGCAACGTACGCGCCCATGTTGCTGAACACGACCCCGACTTTCCTCGGGGATGGACAGACCCCCCTTTAGTAAAACGCGGTTTAGTGAAAACGACCTGAGGCCCAAACCTGGCGGGCGCAAGCCTGGAAAACAACGGCCACGGCGCCATCTCGAGAACCGAACACGGACAATTCACGAATCGACGTGTCACTGTTGGGGGTCCTGTCCTCCCCCGATTTTCCCGTCGCTCACAGAAGAAGCCCCATGCCTTCTGCGGCGCCCAGCATCCTCAGAAGGCCGCCTCCCTCGCGCCGCTTCCCCTCCCGGACCTCCGATAATTTGCGTGCTTCTGCTGCTTGCCGCACGGGCCCCCCTGGGGGTCTGGGCCCCTTCCCCGAGATCGAGAAAGACGACGGAATCGACACACACTTTCGGAGCTCGTGCCCGGGGCCCCCCATGGCGGCGCCGGGGATCGGATCGGCGCTGGGGCCCCCCTGGCGCTGGGGCCCCCCTGATCGGATCGGCGGCTGGGGCCCCCCCGCTGAACACACGATTCCCAGGATCGGCGCTGGGGCCCCCCTGGCGGCGCCTCTGGCGCCCCCCCTGGCGGCGCCTCTGGCGCCGCCCCTGGCGCGCTCCGCGCGCCGGGTCCAGCGCCGATCCGAGACATCTGCGCGGAACTCCGACTGTTGTTTGTTCATGTCATTGTGCGCCCCCCGAGGCATATGCGCCTCGAGCTGTCCTCTGACAGCCCTGCGGGGGGGGCTCGATGCAGTACACCACGTCGCTGGGTCGGCCGAGGAGCTCGGCGCACGGACGCCCCGGTGGCCCAACCTGTGGGACGCTGGAGCGTCTACACGCCGACTTCCCTCGCCACGCTGCCTGGCTTTGGAGGCCTGGAGATGGGCACCAACAACAACACAGGGGCTTGCCTCCAGGGGGACGACGATCCTAGATTTCGGTGTTGGTGGCAATATTTCGGCCACCTTGGAAGCCAGAGTATTACCACCATCAGCGAGATCGGGACCTTCTTCCCTCGGAGGAGGCACACCACCGATCTTGGTGTTGGTGTCAACCTCTAGGCCTGCGATGGCTCCCCGGCCGACCACAGGGCCGGAGGAGCAGAGAAGCTGGGAAGCATAAGCCGTCGGAGAACCGCACGGACTTCTCGGATCCCCGCTGGACCCTCCTCCCCGGCGCGAGGAACGCGCCAGGGGCGGAACTCCGCAAGCGCCGCTAGGGGGGCCTCCGGCGCCGAGCCGAGGAATCCGCGCGGAGCTCCCCAAATGTATGTTTGTGACGTGTGTTCTTCTTCGAGCGACGTGGTCTCTACACCGCGCCGTCGATGCATCTGCGACGCCGGCGGTGCGTTGGCGACGCTGGCGTAGAGAACACTGGGCTGCTCCACATCGAGCCGCATCGCCGATGCATCGGCGATGCGGCGCGATCCTCCGACCCAAACTATGCAGTCTGGCTGCCGAAAGAAGGCACGACAATTGAGGAAGGAAGCCCCTTTTTAGCCCCCAAGCGCCTTCGTGCGCGAGGATGGCTAGAGAAAAAGCCGTAGAAGAACCGAAGGAACATCGAGCCCCTTCCGAACCCAAACTGCTCCTTCTGTCAGCGTCGTGGAGTGGAGGAGGAGGAGGAGGAGGAGGAGGAGGAGGAGGAGGAGGAGGAGGAGGAGGAGGAGGGAGGGGGGAGGGGACGGGGAGGGGGGGGGGGAGGGGGGGGAGGGGAGGGGGAGGGGGAGGGGGAGGGGGAGGGGGAGGGGGAGGAGGAGGAGGAGGAGAAAGAGGAGGAGGAGGAGGATGCTCAGACCCCGTCTGAGATGCCCCTGGCTGCACTCGGGCCTGACTTCAACGTCTTGGCTGTCTGCCAGCGTCTCGACTGCACTCGTAACTTGCTTCAGCGTCTTGGTTTATGTTGCTCAGCGGCGAGCGAGGGGGGAAGCGTGAAGGAGAAGGCCTTCTCAGAAGGCGCCGGGACTTCTCAGAAGTCCTCGCGCCTTCTCAGAAGTTGTTGTTATCTTCGGGAAGGCTTAGAAAACTTATCAGAAGGCCAGGGGACTTCCGAACCTTCTGAGGAAGCCTTCTCCTTCTCACTTCCCCCTCACTCGCCGCCGAGTTGCTCCTATCGTACTCAAGGACCACATCCCAGAAATGATTGCTAGCACCAGCAAAGGTATCGAAGCAGTGTCGAACGAATATCGCCTCGCAGGGCCCGACACGCGGAAGCCCTCCAGCTTCGATACTTTCGTGGTGCTCAAAATTCTGTCTGGTGGTCAAGGCTAAAGTCGGTTGGAACATCATAAGTCTTGGCTGTCTGCCAGCGTCTTGGCTGCACTCGGCGATGCGGCGCGATCCTCCGACCCCATCTGCTCGGACCCCATCTGGGAGGCCTAGATCGGAGATTGGGGGGGTGAGGTCGAGGTGGAACGGAGACCCCCCTTGCCAGGAAATCAGCTGTTCGGTTTCGTGCTTGTGTCCTGCGTGCGGGCGAGGCGGAGCTGCGTGGCCGAGCGAGGAGGAATGAACCCTCCTCTGGCCAGGGCGCCGCAGAGCCAAGCCCCTCGCATACAGTCAACCCGTGAATTAAGGACGGGTGGTAAGGACGAAAAACCCTCAGGGGCCGAAGTGGGGATTTTCTGGGCGGCGGTCGGCCAGTGAGAATCGCAAAGGACGGGCCGCAGAGGCAAGGACACGAGGGCACCCTAGATGAAGGCGCGCATCCTTACTGGACGCGTTGACTGTAGGCTTGGGTCGGGCATGTCCACCGACAGGCGGATCTTGGGAGAAAAGTAACAAAATAATCAAACAATGACCCAACATGGTCGAAAATAGTCCAACAATCGTCCCCCGACTATTTTACTATTTTTCGACTGTTCGCCCCGTAGAGGGACATGCCCGACTGAACTGTAGGCATGCCTCGAACCACACAGATCCCCTCGGGTCTGGCCGCGGAGCCTCGGGGCGAAGGAAAGAGGGGTAGGGCAGAGAATCAGCTCACGTGGCTGCTTTTCCCAGCGCCTCCTGGCGCCGGGAGGCGCCCGTGTATCGAGGAATGGTTGGGCCCGGCGGCGGGGCCGAAACCGGCTGCATGCAGCAGATTTCGTACCCCCTTCAGGGGGGCGTAAGACCCGGGTACAGGGGACTCTGAAATCCCCGACGAGGTCGTCAAAAAAATGACGAGGCCGAGCCTGCATTTTGACGAGGCCTCCCGCTGCAGACGTCCCACGAAACTCCTGCTCGTCAAAATCCGAGTCGCGGTCGCCAAAAAACGAGGGCGAGCCCGAGTCCTGGCAAACCCGGGTCTTACGCTCCCCCGACCCCTCCCTTCCCCCTACTCCCCCCCTGTCGCTCGGCCCGAGAGGCGGGGGGGGGGTGGGGGCGCCGGCCTCTTGACGCCGGCCTGCCCGCCCGCCGTCGCGTACTCCGCGGGGCTCTCGGAGCAGTACCTGCGCCCGGGCCCTCTCTCGGACGCCCCCGCTCCTCGTGCACTGGTCGGTCTCGTGCGCGACCTTCCTCGCAGGGTTAGAGGCCTCTCAGATGGTGTCGGAGTAGATGGGGTCGGAGGAACGCGCCGCATCGCCAATGCATCGACCATGCATCGGCGATGCATCGGCGATTCATCATCAGCCTGGGCGATGCATCGGCGACGTAGACGTGAAGCGAATCGGGCTCCACATGGAGCCGCATCGGCGATGCATTGGCGATGCGGAGCGATCCTCCGACCCCACCTACTCCGACCCCATCCAAGAGGCCTAGAAAGGTAGCCCAGACTGCTCCTCGATGGCTCTTGCCGGGGAGGCGGCGCACACGTCGCGAACGACGCCAAGAGCCGGGGCCCTGCTCCCCAGACGGGCCCCTCGTGGACCCAGCAGCGGTGCGTGCGCCACGCGCTCCTGGCTTGGCCAGGAGGGCGTGCACACAGCTCCTCCTCCTCCTCCTCCTCCTCCTCCTCCCTCCTCCTCCTCCTCCTCCTCCTCCTCCTCCTCCTCCTCCTCCTCCTCCTCCTCCTCCTCCTCCTCCTCCTCCTCCTCCGCCTCCTCCTCCTCCTCCTCCTCCGCCTCCTCCTCCTCATCCTCCTCCGCCTCCTCCTCCTCCTCCGCCTCCTCCTCCTCCTCATGGGCCCAGGAGGGGCCCAGCCAGGGGGCCGTGGACATGTACAGTGGAGGCCAGTCCACAAGAAACCTGCCACGAGAGACCCAACCCTGAGGCCCCAGGGCGTCCATGGATTTTTGGCGTGGGAACGTTGCGCTGTACATCGCAAGCCCCTCGAAACCCAAGAAACCCAGGGCACCCGGGAGGCAAGCAGGGTGTGTCTTGGCATGGGCCTCCGCTGTCTGGACTGGTCCCCCGCGTCCCCCGCAGGCGCCCACGCGCCGTGGGCGGAATCGCGGCGGAAGGTTTCCCGACGCTGCCTTACGCTCGTTCTTATGGAGGCCCGCCTTAGTCGAGAGCTTGGCGGACTAGCGGCAAATCACTGCAGATAGTGGCAACCGACGAATGGCAAATAGCGGCACACGCCCCGCGCTAACCGTCCACCAGTCAACCCCTATTCGCCGCTAGTGGCAGCTAAACGCACCCAACAAAAAACTGCCTGTGAAATTCGAGGCTTCGCCTTAAAACAAAAAACCTAAGCAGTCGTCGGCGCTTTCCAGCTGCGCCTGGCCGAGGGCGTGCTGGGGATGTCCGAGTCGTCCCAAACGGTCCCCAAATTGGAAGTCAAGAGGCCAACTTCTGCAACTATCTGGGCGAAAGACCCAACCATATGCAGTTGTGAGTAAAACAATTGTGAGAGTCGTCTTCGGTGGAGCTCCCTATGGGGCCGCGAAACGTGTGAGGAGTGTGCCGAGTTGGTTCGGGCGGACGCATGCGGACCTTCCCGCTGGGGCCTTCGGTGGAGTTCTCTATAGGGCCATGACGAAACGTTTGAGCTGTGTGCCGACATGGGCCAGGCGGACGCATGCGGACACTGCCACTGGGGCCGTCGGTGCAGACCCTCTTCTGGGGACACGAACCGTGTGCGGTGTGTGGCGACATGGTCCGGCGGACGCATTTGGACCCTGCCACTGTGGCCTTCGGTGCAGCGACCTATAGGGTCACGAAGTGTGTGAGCGGTGTGCCGACATAGTCGGGCGGACGCAGGTGGACTCTGCCACTGAGGCATTCGGTGCAGCTCCCTCTGGGAGCACGAAACGTGTGAGCGGTGTGCCGACATAAGTCGGGCGGACGCATGTGGACCCTGCCACTGGGGCCTTCCGTGCAGCTCCGTACCCTATGGGGCTAACAAACGTGCGAGAGGTGTGCCAAAATGTTCGACATGCGGATGGCAGGGGCAAGGATGAGAGGAGGGACGAGGAGGAGGAAGAGGAAGGAAACGCGAGGCGCTGTCTCTTCAAAACGAAGACTCAACACCACGGGATGGTTTAGATGTCTGAGGACCTGTGCACTCTGGCAAAGCGTCACTCATGAAAACGTGAAGCCGACAGAGGCCCGATTATTCCAGACACCCCTGGGAACCATAGACGTCCGAAGAATACACGTTCTCAACTTCGTCGATTTCTTCCCTTTGAACATCCGAAAACGGTTTCAGTCCCTGCGGGGACGATCAAAAACGGAAACGGAACGCATGAGAACTCCCAACAAATCCGCCGGAAATCGTATGACCTTTTTCACAGGAGCCAGCTTTTCACCTGGCGGCGTTTGCTCTCGGTCTCGGGGCCTGTTGATGGTCCCCGGAAGCTGAAAGTTGTCGAGAACCTTCCACCGTGACTCTCGCCAACACGCGAGGAGCTCTTGTTTTCGGACCAGGACACCTCCAGCGGCCGTTTCGGATAATCCGGGCACCCCTGGAGAGCTCTCAGCGATAAATCCCCGTCCGCATGTTGCTCAAGACATTGGTTGCCTGGGCCACCAGCAGCAGATCGAGCCCGGGTAGTCGGCATCGAATCGAAACACATCGGATCGGATCAGAACATGCGCCGGATCAAACTGGTTCGGCAAAGAGTCGGAATCGATCCGGATCGGCGGCGCCGGATGGCGCCAGTGTTTTTCGTTTCCGTTATGTTTTCGTGTTCCCTAGCTTTGTCTTCAATCCGCCTTTGCTGCAAAACGAAACCGAAACGAAAACGCCCCACGAAATCGACAGAACACCGTCCAAATCGGCCCCTGGAATCGAGACCGAACTGCATCGAAAGCTACCCCGGACGGATGGGCAGGCCCGGGGGCGCGCAAAAAAGCAGGAGAGGCGGGAGAAGCAGCGCGCGGGAGCCGCGCCAAGCCCTGCCCCGACCCCCCCACGTTTCCACAAAACACATCTGCATGCTTGAATGCCAATCTCGGAAGTAGGTAGAAAGTAAGAAGGCGTTGAAGTAGATTGGGTCTCCGCCCGTCCCCTGCAGAAGAGGGAAGAGGGGAAGCCGCTCGATCAGTGGAAGGCCCTCTAAACATATTGGAATATAGGAATCCGAAATTATCTACTCTCAACGACCGATGGGTAACCCCGCGCCCCTGATAATAACCCCGGGGGGAGAATAAAGTTCGAGGCTCGGGGGGAAATCAATTGTGTGTACGGTGACAGGGACCCATGTGTACGGCTCGTCCCGGCAACCCGTGTGTACGGTGACAGGGATGACATGGGAAAGCTGAATTGGCGTGAATTCCATAGCCCTGCCAAACGTTCGTGATACTGCTGCTACTCGACATCAGAAGACCAGCAAATTCCACTCGTGCTTTCCCCCGCGATCCCGAAGCACGGCCCCGCCACCTCGCCGCCCCGCCCCCGACCAACGCTGTCCTGGCCTGGAACAGTGAACTCTCGGGTGGAAAGTCGGGGGCGTCCAAGAGGGGGGCGTCCAAGAGGGGTGGCGCAAATCGTGGCCAGCGGCACGTGCGCGGCCCAGGAGGGGGGTGCCCAGGGGGGGGGGCCGGGGACGGCCCCCCCCCTAGACCTCACCCCCCGATTATGAAGTACGGCCTCGCCTCTGTCGTTGCCCGATAGCGAGCTCCCAGGTGGAAAGGAAGGGGGTATGCTGCTTTGTCTGGGGCACGGGGTTATTTTTCAGCCTCCGGGGTCCTCGCCGGGCCCGCGAGGGCTGCCAGCAACGGCTCGGGATATGAGAAGCCAGCCCCAAGGAAAAGGGTCGGGACTTCCTGGGACCCAGCACTCGATGGATCATGACATTTCGTATTTCTTAGGGGCTCCGCGTGGGTTCCTTCGATCGGCGCTGGGCTACCCCTCCCTGGCGCGCGCCGGGGGGCGCGCCAGAAACGCCACCAAAACACTCCAACACGAATCCAAGACATCCGCGCGGAACTTCGAGAATACATCGTTTGCTTTGCCCCCCGAAGTATGACAACAACAACAACACCAACAACAACAACAACAACAACAGCAGCAACAGCAGCAGCAACAGCAGCAGCAACAGCAACAGCAGCCGCAACAATAACTAAACGACAAAAACGAGCACAACAACAACAGCAACAACAACAACAACCACAATCATTTTACCCGAACGCTCAGTGTTCTCCCCAGTGCCAGGGTTTTCTTGCGACACCAGCCAATACCCCCACTTCGTGGGGGGGCCGTTCAAGCTCTACCAAATATCCAAACGACTCTTCGAGACCACCCACACCCAGCTTCCCGCCCTATGACGTTGGGACACTTCACTTCGTGGCGTGCGGACGACCCTGGCTACTACACTGGCGTGGGGTACACACCCACAGAGGTTGATCACATCTGTTACATATGATGTGGTACACGGTACACGTGAGATGGTACGCAGTGCCAAGATAGTTGGTCACATTTTTGGGGCAAATTCGTGGGGATGCGATTACAGAAGTACATGTGTTACACTGATGTTATACAGTCCCAAGGATGACGCATGCATTGCTCATAGACTCATGGCGCTATGATCCTAACTCTCAGTGCCCAACGCGCGCGTGCACAGCCAGACGGAGGGAGAGAAACACATGTATACAAGGTTCGTGACATACGCACGGTCCACCATGTTGTAAACGATCGCATGCACGGTAAGTTCTGAAATTATACGTATGTACAAGCAGACATGCGAGGGAGAAAGGGAGATGGCCATCGACAGTTCCAATACGGCTCCAAGGCGGAAGAGGGGGAGGAGGAGCAGGGGGAGGAGGAGCAGGATTTCGACATGCGCGCGCGGCGGCCGCGCGCATGTGCACTTCGTCTCATTTTTTGCAAGGGATGGTGGCCCTCGCAGGCGCGCAACCGTTGTTGGAGAAGTTCAAAGCACCTGAAGAAGTAGCACGCAAAGACCCTTTTGACAGAAATGTTTAAAAAGTGGTGTGTTTCCTATGAATCCGCAAGAGCGCGCGGAAGGACATTTTGACATTTTTTCTTAAAAAACCATTGGGTTTTTGATGTTTTTATGTTAAAATCGTTACGAAACCTAAGGTTTTGGAAGGATTTCGTCTTGCG